GAGGACCCGTCCATCGCCGCTTGCGGCTTTAATTATTTTTGTATTTATTTTAGGACGCATGTTGTTCCTTAAGAAATGCAGCAAATGCAATTCAACTCAAGGTAAATCAACTATGATTTTAAAGGTCTCATATTGTGCCCCTTTTTGGCAAATCATTGAAAACCTCGTGTCCCTAAACAGTGTAAAAGATGCAAAGATGGCTAATTTCACCATGACTGTATAAGTGCTGGTTTTAGTCCAGCAGGCTGTTTTGACTGTCTGTAGCTTTAAATGCAGTTGAGCTGCTGCTGTCCACGCTCCCTTCAGGAAGAAAACTCTCTCTGTGTTGATAACAGCATCCATGCATGAGTGTGGAACCATGATTTTCTGTTGCTTCTAACTTTCTCTGTGAACAATCATTTCACAGAGAAATATCACAGAATTTACAGCACAGTCACCGCATTTAGCTCATTTGTTTGGTGAGCTTGTTGGACGACGTTGCAGTTATAAAATCAGTAGCGTGACTGCTGGTTAAAATCTAGATTTAATGGGCTGCATTTTAGGAATTGTTTTGCTAATTTAATCTAATGTTAACTTTGAAAGTGAAAGTTTTTGCTTGAATTTATCCATCTCTCCATCATCGATACACAGCTTTATCTTCTGTAGGGTTGCAGAGCTTCAATTCCTCCAGTTCTTATTGTGTTTTTTTTCCTCAAGGCATGCTTCACGGGCTTGTTGGCTTCTGTTTTGATGTCGTCTGCTGTCGCTTCAAACTCGGAGTCTATCGGCCCAGAGAGGTGAGTCTCCATCACAATGAGAGCTATTTCAATAAGAGAAGACGTTGCCTCACTGTATAACAAACTGACCTGCACTGAATCTGTTGCAGGACGTGCAGCCACACAACCAGATGAACAACCTGAACCATCACCAGACTCCTCTGCTGGCTGATGATGTTGCTCAGGAGTAGCTGCTTCCTCCTCCTGCATGGTTTAATGGTAAACAGGGGACCAGACAAATAATGAACAGTTTCAGTGCTTTCTCATCCCAGTGGGATAGATGGCTCAATCCAGCCCATCAGATGATATTATGTGTTTATTTATTTTATATATGTTTGTACATCCACCCCTCGTCCTGCTCACCTGAGATGTGAGTGAAAGCGGCAGGAAGGAGACACAAGGAGAGAGGAGTTAAGACAGCAGGCATTTACCAAAACAAGACATCATTTTAAAGCGACATCAGCTGAAGCACTGGCACATCGTGTGTCTTTTGTCTCGTCACAGGCTATTTTAAGATCTCAGTCAGATGAGCTGTTCATGACAACTTCCAGTTACTTTTAATTCAGCATACAACATGGCATAATGCGACAAGAACGTTCGGCTTTGACACTTGAATTTTTTTTAAACACGCGCCAAACTCATTAATTCAAACAGAAAACCTACAGCTGTCGACTCTGCCTCCCACTGTGTAGAACCCAGCTGTGTGTCACGCATTTAAATGTCACGGGTGCCAAAAAGACGAACAAAGGATACTCTTCTGCATCCTTACACAGCTCTTCCAGCAAGCCTCCTCTCTCGAGATGCATTTTAGGAGTTAAGACATTCTTCAAAATGGTGCTCTGACATCCGGGTCACAGTACGAAGAATGGAAAAGACGAATACGTGCAAAGCAGCGAAAAGGAAAGAGCCCTATGTCATAAAATTGTGCTTCTCTACTGAAAAAGGCAAAGCTGCTTATAAAACCCTGTCCTGTTCACTTAGATATCACAGCTCACAGTGATGATTGCACTTTAGGAAGACGTGGCGTGAGACACGTGTCCTGTGACTGTGTGTTCATCTTGTTTTAGCACCTTTTTAATGTTGTATTTTCTCTGTTCGATTTGCTGTCACAGCAAATGCTGCTGATTGTTTGTTTGTTATTCCAACTACATTAAAGTTTAAATACCCATGAATTCAAAAGGCCATTACCGCTGCTGTTTTGTTTCACAGCTTTCAAGTGAAGAACAACCAGATGGTTTTCAAACTGCTGAACTATAAAATGCTTGCCGAGTTTGAAAACTGAGCTGGAAGGTAATTGTAAAGTTCCATAACAAGAGAAAAAGTTGCTAAAGCTCTTTACTGCATGGTGGTTTAAGGGGCACTCCGACAAGTTAGTGCCGTCAAAGTTGATGGACGAAGCAGATTTTCTTTAAAAAGTAGCTAAAACAATCTGACTTTTAAACACCGTATGCCAGGTAGTAACAGACTGTTTGCTGTACATTTGTAGCTGAGATAACCCTGCAGACGTCATTGGATTCCATTTAACAACTTTGGAGAGAAGAACAAAAGACAACTGAGTGTTATTCCCTATGACAAGTAAACTGACTTTGGTGTGAATCTGTGTGTAAAACCCCCAAAAGTGAGGTAGGAGGCAGGTTTGATGGACTGCAGCACGCTTACACTTTTTCTCTTCTAGTTTATTTCAGTTTTGCCAAGCAGACTTGAAGTGTTGTCAGAGCAGGGGATACAGGTGGTGAAACATTTTGCAAATGACACCAGAAAGAATAAGATGAAATCACTGGTTATGTGTTGCTGTTTGTTACATACAGTAACAGTCGCAGCTCCAGACCGCGGTTCATGGTACCAACAGTGCTCCGCATTTGGTCGGCAAACAGCAAAGAGAGCACTTTGTTGTCAAACGGACACACAGAAGAGAAGAAACCTCATACTGACGACACCATTAAAGTAGCCCTGTAGCTCTTAGAAAACAATCTGACGAAACCGCTTCATCATGCAGGCTCTGTACGAATGCAGACGTTTTGGTTCATTATCCCCATCTGCGATTAAGAGGATAGTTACCATGGTTACACCAGACATGGGCTTTGCATAAACATTTATTTAGTTTTGTCCCTTTTTCTCCCATAAAGGCTCATCACTGTTATTTATTTTTATTCTGTCAAACCTTGCAACATATACAATACTGTACACAGTTTTCTCATTTGTTTAGTAAAAATCAGGCTTGCCTGTCACACTTAATACTTTTGGTAGACTCTGTGGGAAGCTCTGTGGTCCTGTGAAGACACTCAAGCAAAAAAAAAGAAAAAAAAGAAAAAAAAAAGGAAAAGAAATCAACAGTCAAATACAAGTTTTTGGTAGTCTATAAGAATAATGTGTAAGTTCACCTATTTACAGATGTTCCAAAACTGGGATCGAGGATGTAATGCCAGGAGGGTCCTTTACCTCGCACTGATTTAAAGCTGAACTGGATCTGGATCAAATAGTCAGTTTGTCTTGTTAAAAAAAAAAAACAGAAGTCCGTTCCTCCATTCTGTAAGGTGTGGCGTCCCTCATGGCTCTGTACTTGGTCCACTGATTTTCTCGTTCGGTGGAATCATTTGCAATTGGAACTGTCGCTCCAACGTAGATGACAAGATTCTATTTTTGAATTAACTATGATAACTGATCCCTGCTCCGTCTCGTTTACTAACAGTCAAAGGTCGGACGACTCCAATGATACAACCCCAGTTTACAACATCATTTAACAAACTGATCAATCTTAGCTTCTCTGCAGCAGCTTCAGATTCACGCTAAGGACGGTTTTAAAGTGCCTCTCCCAACAAACCTCACAAGCCTTTAAAATTTATTCAACCACAGAGTCCCTTGGGATTAAAATCTTGTGTTTGAGGGTGACCTGACCAGCATCAAGGACTCAATATCGTCAGACATGTGCCTCTCATGTTTTAACATTACGTTCAAGTCTCAGTAACCATGTTCTGCTGTATTTTTAAAAACCTTAAAGGCTTTTAAAAATGTGTGACTCCATTTCCTATCAATGCAGCTGGTGGGCATTTATCTATATGTGGATTTAGATACAGAATTGCACTTTTTTTCCCCATCTAGATGGATCAAAAAGTGTTCTAGGATACTGAAAGTCTGAGCTGCTTGCAGAACATCACTGAGCGTACATTTTTCAGAGAAACTGATGGTTATCACTGAATCGAATGTAATGTCAATACCAGAGAGGCACAAAATAAGACCAGATCCCCTCAATCTCAATCAGTTGACTCGACCTCTGAATTCACAAATCCACCTTCTCCAAGCTGTGAACTTCTATACAAGTGAATCACTGACACCGGGCTAGTTTAACTGGACACACTCCTTGTACCTTTACATTTTGGCTTGACTTCATTATATGTATCATAATCCTTCATTTGGCATTCCTAACAAATATAATTTTTTAGTTTTTCCCACCTATGGCTCCTATTTCAGCCCCAGCTGTCAGAGGAGAGGAGGACCTCTTCAAAATGTCTTTACCTAATAAATTTTGGTGAAGGGCTATCTTCTTAAAAATCTTGTTTAGGAACAGTTGAGAAACATTTTACAATATGTACTGGGCTATACAAATAAACTCCACTCTGATGTACTCTTATTTATATATACTACACTGCCAAGGTCTACCACATATAATCGTACTAGCCTTTGACGCAAGTATAAAGATGTAAAAGTAGTAAACTTAGTTTCAGTACAAACTGCTGTACAAACAGGCAAAAAGTGGATGAGCATTCAAACAAACACGGTTTATGTTCAAAGACGTACTGACGTTATCATTTGTGATCATAAATAAGTGACAACCTCGACAGCAGGAAAGATGGCAGATCTGTATGTTTTGGTATCTGTGGTGAGAGTTTCGCTGTAATACTGGTCTCAATGATCTGTGGATTGGCCTCGAGACAGATAACCACCAGTGAGTTTCGTGTGTGTGTGATCTTAAAAAGGCAGTAGATACACGTAACGCAAGACATACAGATATATCCAAATCACCTGCGTATTAAAGAGAGGAACTGGAGATCCCCACAGTAAAAAACAGAAAATAATCTTATAGAAATTGTCCTCCACTGACGCACTGCCGTATTTCAAGTATGAAAAAAAATCATCACAAGGCAAGGCAATGTACCTAGATTCAAGAGGGTGGAAAGGAAAATGGAAGTCACACAAAAGGCTTATTGTTGCATATATAATTGGCCACTTTGAGAAGAAAACAGTAGGTACAAAATGAATGACAACACTTTTTTTTTTTTGGACAGGGTTTGGTGACTGAACAGTGCAGGTACTGATGACAGATTTCCAAACTAAACAAATAATTCATGGCTAGTAGACCTCTTTTTTTTCCCCCCTACCCTTCCTTCTGAGTGCTTCACTCAACCACAGCCCCCACCTGTAGAGAGCCCTGCTTGTCCACATTAAGAAGGATTTGGAGCATCCTCAGTGGATGTTGGATTCTCAGATGTTTGGTTCCTGCTGACAGCTGAAGGCGAGGGGCTGCTGTCTCTGGCTTGAGGCGGTGAGGAAGACTCAGTTGGTTAAGGTGCTGGATGCGCGGAAGTAGGAGAGGAACTTGAAACAGAGGCTGACCACAAAGTACCAGATGTTTCTGGCCATCTGGGAGCGGGCGATAAACACCCTCCAGATGAAAACGACCAGCAGAGTGTTGAAGGTGTAGCGGATGTTCCTCAGTCTGGGAAAGAAGGAGGAGGAATGAGGCTTTAAAAACACAGAGCTGCTGATAAAATATTAAACATAAAATTTCTACTTGCAAGTCTTTGATATAAAACCTAAAATAGACGTGAGATTACACACAATTATGTTATTATTTTTATTTGCAGAGTTTTTAATGCAGCCCCCAGTAGTGGCTTCACATCTTAGCCTGGTAAAAATCATGTTTGTTCTATTAAAATTCAAACTTAGACGTTTTTTGTGAACTAGTATTCAGCTCAGGTCCTACAGAGTAAATAGTATTATAAATGATCTATCAGTGTTCTGAATACCAAAACCTGCGAGCAAGTTTGAAAGGCATTTTATATTTAAACAAAAATTACACCATTTATCAGAGCCACAAGCTGTAAAAACTCAAAGAAGTGAGTTGAATTTTCTACTTTCTGACAGTTCTTGAGGTAGTCATCGGTGACGGTACGTGCCGTTCCGCTGGCAAAATAATCCAAAACATGTCCTAAAATCGTTATTGAAATCTCTTTATTCTACATATCTCATTAAAAAACAAAAACAAACAAAAAAAAAACTACAATATGACAAAAATTTGCTTGAACTGCAGATAAGAGACAAGCATTGAAATAAAATAACAATTTCAAAAATGTCCGTGGTAAAATATCTACAGTGTGTTCAGACAACATCTTTTCCTGTGGGCACTTGGAATGATGTTATTTAAGGTTTTTTTTAATAAAAAATAAATAAATAAAAAACTCAAAGAAACTCAGTATTTGTTTTTTCAATTTTTTTTGTAATGAAATTATTGATTCCCATAACTGTGAGTTTGTTTCATTGTTCTTGTTCAACAGCCTTAAATCAGTAACTAGCTGGTAAACAGATTCTTTATCACTGTATTTGTGTAGCGGTCACTTGTTGACTTACTTCCTCAGATGCTGCCTGGCAGCAGGAATGTCAGACATGTCTTCGTTCAGGACGTACTTCTTGGTGCCGATGCAGTAATTCTCAATGTACTCTGGCCAGTTCAGCTGGCGCACATCGAAGTTAAATGTCTGCAAGATAAAGTGGAGAATACTGACACTAAGACAGAGAAAAGCTGCTGTTAGTTTGTAACTAAAAGTGAATGTGAAGTTCCTCTCAGACTCACTAGATGGAGCAATAGGCTCCCTTTTATAACACTACACCGTATGCCCAGAAAGCACTTTGTCTCCTCATCATATCAGGGTTAAAAGTAGAAGCAAATATTTCTTCAGTTGTGGAAAGAGAAGAGATTTATTATAAAAAAAATACTCCTTGACAGTTACTTCTGTGAAATGGACTTAAAGCATCAAAGTAAAAACCTCACTCTGCAAAGTGGCTGCTAAAAACATGTTTGCAGTTGCTTACATGAAGTATCTTTTCAATTGTGTATTTTGTCAAATTGGACCTAATATTAACTTTCTGCCTTTAGAAATTCATGTTTTACAAGTTGATCGTATACTTTGTATGAGGAATCTTGATCAGCAGAGGATCTATACCTCTAAAAAGCAAGGGAGTAAAAAGTGCAATCTTTTGCTCAGAAATGTAGTCATTCAGAAGTAAATACTTGCATTCAAAAAGAAACACTCAAGCAGAATTCTGAGCAACATACATACTTTATGAAAGTACAGTACTTAAGCAGTTATTTTCCAAAAGTATATTTCCGAGTAAAAGTGAAAAGGTGATCATGGTCACTCAGATGACATCAAATGAGACGTTTTTTCTATTGAGATGGATCAAAACATCTGGTACCTGTAAGTAACCTGAGAAGGTTGCCAAACTGGCAGCATGTACATGGATAATCCTACCTTCCTGTCCTCTGGGGTGAGCTGGCTCATCAGCATGCTCATGTTCTCAGAGTTCCACTCCCAGTCCTGGCTGCTGAAATACTCCAACAGGCTGATGGCCTTGTGCAGACGATTGAAGATGCGCATCATCCTGCGGCGAGAGAAAGATAGAGAGGGGTGCGAGGTTACGACACAGCTGAACTTCTTCTTAAATTGAAAGCATGGCAGATGGCCGCGGGTCTTACTGTGGCTTCTGCCCAGAGAGACGCAGGAAGAGGTCGTAGATGAGGGCGGGGAACTTGTGGCTGACCAGGATCCAGTACTGGTTGATCAGGTAGTTGGAGGTGATGTTGGCGTTGGGCCTGCGGAAAGCCTGCTCCAAGGGGTTCCTCTTAAAGGATGACATCACATGGTGCTCTGCAAGTGAAGATGGGCTTTTACAGACTCTGGTTTCGCATCGCATACTTTGTAAAAGGCAGCTGTAATACATATGCAGAGTAAAAAGATAAAGTATGTGCTGCTTCATGCGGTATGCATACAACTGGGACGTACTACTTTGTCATAATAATGCGCCTTAAACTTTGACCGTTGCAGTCTGTAGCGCAAATTGAGCTGTCATCCGTCTTTGCACTCTCGCCGGCTCAAGCTTGTTTATACTCGTGCAAGACTCCAGAGGATTGTGGGTCAGAACGGTCAGAAAAGCACGCCGGCTTGCATACTGTGAAATCCGACCGGACGTAGTGGAATATCCTGGTATTTTTAGCATACTACATTTGTCATAGTATGTATTGGGACTTGCTAAATCTTTATCTGGTGTTCCATATAGTGTAGAAATATGGTGACTGGAACACAACCTTTGTCAAGACAAAGATTTTTTACCCGTTCCCCAAATTGCAAGTGTGTGTAAACCTGCAGCAGACAGAATATAAAACACATACTTAATCCAGACGTGCCTTTAAGTTAAAAGGCCGTTTGCAGAACTCAGGAAGCGGTGCAAAACCTCTTCCTCTTCAGATAATCAGGTGTTAACCTCTGTGACTCCAACGGTGAAAGTGAGGATCTCATGATGCAATGAAACCCACCACACACCAGCCAGGTCGTCCACATCCACCAACCACAAATAAATCAGGTAAACATGCACAGATTGGGGCTTCTATGTAAGGATCAGGACTTCCAGGAACCACAGCCGGCCTTAATCATGACTCGATTTTCAGCTCTGCGTCTCGGGGCAAAAACAGGCAGAAAGCGGCCACTCGCTAATTTCCCCCCACTGGGCAGCGTGGCCGGCCCCTCCTCCTCCTCCTCCTCCTCCTCCTCCTCACAGAGACCAGCAACCGTCCACAGAAGCAGCCATGTGACTATAAACATTACATCACACGCATCATGCAAACTAGGTCCTGTAAGGTTTGTTTCCATGGCAACAGATATGTGGTGGTTGCAGGGGCCGAGATGACCAGATCTGAGGTGACAGCCAGCTGTGGCCGGGCTCCTTGCAGCCTGGTTGGGAGTATCGCTGCTAACCTTGATCTGCTCTCTGAGGTCTGACAGTTGTAATGAGGGAAAAAAAAAAAAAAAAAAACTAGGCTAAAGTACCCACAATTCCTTGCTAGCAACAAGCAGCTACATCATCGTCCTCTACTCGTTTTCTAAGTTTCACACTCAGGAAGAAAACCACAGACCTATTGCTACTAGCTCCTGTTTTTAAATTAGCTTCATTTCTAGCTTTCATCCGGGCCAGTGTGATCACAGTCCACAGCTCCCGTTTCGTAACGGCAAGCCGCAGTGATGAGACCTAATCCTGCCACGAGCCATCTGGTAGCAATTTCCTTGGTGAAAGGAGCATGTTTGCTAATCTGAGGGTCCCTTGACATCCCGCCAGCCGCGGACATCCTCCGCACCAGGAGGGAGACAAAGACAGTCCCACCACTCGTGTCATGACCTCAATATAAGGACCTACAAATCAGCACGAGCGCTAATACACATCAGCTGCAGCATCATATTTGTGGAGAGGGATGATGATGTAACGCTAAACTATGTATTATGAACTCAACATGTGCTGCACAATGATGCAGTGAAGCATCGCCGCCTGTGTGTTGTGCTCTTATGAATTAGGGTCATTTTAATAACGTTGAATGATTAAAATTGTGCACGTTCCTATTTGTCATATGCAGAGTTGCCAACTGATGGATTAATCAGCAGAAGAATACAAATCCACCACATATAATAATCTTTTTTGTGTAAGTATTGATCAGAAACAAGCGATCTGAACTGTTAACAATGGTGTTTCTCACTGTTTTACAAAAAAATAAATACAATAAAAAAATAATAATAATACCCCCCACTGTAGTTTATTCAGAACATATTAAGACCCTTCATTTCTGTTCTGGAGTATTTCCAGTTGCCAACATTTCTAAAAACACATTTCCACTCTCATAATGGGTTTTTGACTGGAAACTGGTTGGGGACCAGGGGACTTTAATCCATTTAAAATTAAATATGCAACAATAATGTGTGCAAAACAAGACAAGGTCTGAATACTTTCTGTGTAATGCCACCATCTGTGTTGTCAGATGGAATTTTATGGTTAAGAAAAACACATTTGGATCCCGTTTGATGATGCTTTTTTTCCAATTCAAACAATCATTTTTTTTTGGACTAAAGCCTTTGGTTCTGAAATTATGATGATATTGTCTCATAAGAAATCAATATAAAGGAGCGCCATGTCTATTACTCGCATCACTACACTGAACGTTGCATTAAAATGACAAAAAGCTAATCGGTTCAAGACATTCACGGGTTCTGGAGAAACAGCTACGACTACGTTTCAATGCTTTTCAACCTATTAAAACGTATATATTAGGAAACGAAATAGCAAAGGTGGTTGAAACTTAATGAAAATAACATTTAGTGTCTGGAAGTGAAGGGAGAACACACTAATCTAAAGTTCCTACATGGTTGGATGGATTTTTCAAAACTCTAAATTAATATTTTAAAGGTTGTCCTTAAGAATCATGTAATATGTGTAGAAGGACAATTTGCATTATTCAGTCTCCACTAATACCCTCCATCTTCCACTTCTTTCCAGCAGGTGGCAGATGCTCCCCACACGAAGCCTCCGCCGCAAACAACAACTAAACTACATCACAGAGACATTATGTCAGAACGCTGGACTATTGATTTGTGATGATGAAAGCAAACCGAGACGACAATATTGCAGGATGCCAGCAGGTGCAGACAAGACAGCTCCATAAATGTCCGTCTGCAAAGACAGCTTTCTGTTACCTTTAAGCAAGACAACAAACAGTGTACGTACCGATCTCCCCCCAGTGGAACGGGTTGATGCCGCCGGTTGTGCAGTTGTACACCAGAGCTGTTTTAGGTCTGCAAGGTGCAAGAGATCAACGTCATGCTAATGTAGGTTACAAAAATATGCATTTCCTGGTTGGGTATTTAAATTGTGAAAATGTAGTGATATAAAAGGGAGATCTTAAGTTTTAAAAGACTGTTCATTTATGAGTGTCTGAACTGAGGGCCACCTCAAATGAACCCTCTGAATCTGAAGCTTTTTGCCCCCCTTTTTTTTTTTGTTTTTGTCACATATTTACTGACTGTGGGCTCATTTTTCACTGTTATGAAGTCAGAACACTAGAAGAAGGGCTAAAAGTAGAGAGAACAATAAATGATCTTTTAGTTAAAATGCCATGAACTATAAAAAAGAAAAAGACTTAAATTTTTGACAATATATTTGGCTATATTTAAAAGTAATGGTGACTTCACATACTACATATATTTTACTACTAACATTTAATTATTTTCTGTACCACCCTATCTGCTTTAAGTAAACACAGCCTGCATTTCATTCCAGTTTAGCTGACAAGTCCCCTTAAGTTTTGTCCTGTTGGTTGCAGGTAAGTAAAGCAGTTTAAAATGAGCCCACAGGGAGTAAAAAATTGACAGGAGCAAAAAAACTGCCCACAACCTACTTAAGAGTTCTGAGGGTTACAGAAAGTGTCAGTGATCTTAACATGTTTCTTTGAAGCCCCTTTCAGACACGCGCTCCTTTTCATTCCATCTGACGGCACCTGTATATATCAGCTTCATGCCTGAACGAGCACCCTGGTCACTTCCGTAGAAGTTGCGACGGCAGCACAAGGCTGAACTGAACTGTCACATTAACAGACAGACACAAGCAACAGCGCTCTAAGTTGATGGAAGGCACTTTCCACATTTTAGCACTAATGTTCGTCACAAAACATCAGCGAGCAAAAGACATAGTTTGAGTGCCAAATTCACAAAGTAACCCATCAGGCTTCAAACTGGAACACCCATAGTAGTAAAACTAACAGCTTAGATTATTCCGTTTGAGTGTCTCCAAAGCACAAGAGTTGTGCACATTCATAAGCGGAGCAACAGTTGTAAATTCTTCAATAAGACTTAATCAAATCTGATCCCTGACATGGAGACAGGATTGATAAAGATCTAATGGCATGTCATGTTGTGTACTTGTCTCCACCTCAGACAGGTGAGCTGTCACATAGAGTCACAGTGTATCAGATAAATATGTTGTTGTATCAAGAAATCAGAAACAAGCTGCACAGTCTTTGGGTTGTTAACATTATTCTGCATTGGACATCACTTGGTGTAATGTCTAATGACAAATATCGTGTGCATATCGTGGTGCTCCCCATCACTGTTGGGGGTTTGTCTGAATGATACCGTGATGGACATTGTGACCCATGTCTGAATGATAAAAAGCTACAACTTTAACAGAGTGATGAAGCCACTAATGTGACGTATACCATGTCTGAAAAGGGCTTAATATAAGTGATTTTAGAAGTGGTGGTTGCGTTTCCTCACCTGTGTACAGCAGTGTACCAGCCAGCAGCCAGAGTCAGATTGATGACCACATCCACGGGGATCAGATCAGCCACGGCATCATTGTTGGCTCTCATGGTGCGCAGGATACCTTTCCCCGCCTGATTACAGGGACGACACCGTCTTAGGACTGTGAAAGATGTCTGTGCAATTTGGAGATTTAGGATTTGAGGGTGACATTTTTACTCACGGCTATAAAGACGCCGCTCGGCCCGTTGAAGTTGTCGATCCAACCCTGAGGGATGAGACACAGGAAACTTAATCCTCAGAGAGCTGATTATATCCGTGACATCGAAGCGACATTAAGTTATAGATTGTAGCCACATGTGTTTGTGTGTGATGAGTCAGCCGGTCAGGGTTGTGTTACCTCCCATGGTGGGGGAACAGGGGAGGCTGGGCAGCAGTGATTGTCAACTTCAATTAGATGCCATTAAAAATGGATGAAACCACTGGTAATAGACTGCTGTAGCTTCTAATGTGAGGGACTGGAGACTCATTATGTGGTCAAGGCCGAGGCTTATCCTGACTCTAATAATATGCTCCGGTGCAGATAAGGTGCACAACAGACAAGAAGGGGCCAGAGGAGTTTTTAGCACAACAATCTGTTGATGGGCTCAAGGAGGAGACGCGTCTTTGAACTGATATTTGGTATCCTGTGTCGGTTACATGGGAGACTTCTACAGACACAGAGTCCCAGAATGACAGAATGTACATGCATATTGTGGTTGCAACACACATTGGACAAACACAAACATATAAATAAGCTGTCCCTATCCCCCCATGCCTCTCAGCGCCTACTGGCAGGGGCTGCCAAGGCGATTGCATGGCCAAGCGTGAGTGAGGCCTTTTGGAGAGTCGCTGCCAGGCCGAGCTTACAACTGCAGGCTGAGCACAGAGCCAGGAACTGCCGTCACAGTCCCAGCGCGCAAACACAGGGCCTACATTTCCTGACGCCAGATAAACAAGGACTTTCCTGTGTTTTTCTGGTATTTTATTCATGCGGCTTCATCTCCCAGTCTCTCTGATCTAAAGTGCACCTCTCGCCTGACTACACAAAACGGTAAACAAGCTCCAAATAAGAGTGTTACAGATCAAAAAATCTTCTTCCATCAGCACATTTTAAAACAACTGAAGTTTACCAAAGTGCTGCTGCACACTATAAGACAGACGAAGGCAAAGATATATCGAGAAAAAATACGGTAAAATAATTATAAAACACTAAAACTCAAGAGGACTAAATGTAGAGCTGCAACTAATAATTATGGTAATTACTGTTTGATCTATTAATTATTTCTTTAAATAATTAATACATCCATGTCAGAAGTTAAGAATTTTCGATTTGCTTTATTTCTGATCACCAGCACAAATCAAAGATATACAGTTTAGAACTGCGATTAGTCACACTTTTTATTTTTTGGGCTTTTGAACCTTTATTTAAAAAGATGGTGAAGAGAAAGGAGGAAACGTAAATGTCACAAGTGGCTTGGACTGCCAGGAATCAAACCAAGTAACCCCTGCTCAGGACACAGGAGCCCATATGGTACATATCCTAACCAACTGGCTATCAGGTCGCCTCATTATTTTCATTTTTAAAACAAGAAACACAACCATTCTCTGTTTCCAGCCTCATCTCAGTGTGACCTGAGTATTTCTGGTGTTGTTTTGTATTTTTTTTTAAAGCACCATCTCATGATCTTGCAGCAGAC